GCAGCCAGGGGAGTCTATAAATAGCCACATTAAATGTAGTTTCATTTAATTACATCGCTCCAGAGTAATCATATTGCGGTGGAAATTTTTTTTTGTGAACATCAACTTCATTGATCATTAGCCCTTAGCCCTGTTTCTACAAAGACAGTCTTTCTCTGCCATGTTGCAAAACTATCACTCTATTTCTTTTACATACAATTATATTATATTATATTATAATATATTATATTATATTTTATATATTTTTTTTGTGGTCATCAACTTCATTGGTCATTAGCCCTGTTTCTACAAAGACATTCCTTCCCTACAATCACTCTACTTCCTTTTCATAATCGATCTTTTCGGGTATCGACCACCTTTGCGAAATACTATATTTTAGTAAAATAACTCGACTGCTTTAAATATAGTAAAGTACTCTTGATCCCTTGGACGTCTGTGAGACAATTCTCTAGATTTTGTGGTACGTCACGTGTAAGTTACGTTGCACGGTTTGGGCTGGACAGTTACATAATATGTGTTGTACAGACATGGCATTATTACATAAATAACACAGTGGGGGGGTTCTCGCCTTTTAAAAGGTAAGTAAGTATGTGTAATTGCAGTATGTCCCATTCTAAGCCGGTGGAGACGCACACTTTCTTGACGTGGTAAGTTTAACGCTGGTGATGTTGTTACGACACTGGGCTTAATTTGACTTAAAAAGGTATTGGTTTCTTGCCATGATTGTTGCCACAGTTCTTTCATGCGTTGCAATATGTACACCTTTTGATCACTTTTTTTTAATTTCAGGAACATCTATTTCTATTATATTATATTGTATTATATTATATTATATTATATTATATTATATTATATTATATTATATTATATTATATTATATTATATTATATTATATTATATTATATTATATTATATTATATTATATTAACTAACCTATGAATTTCCCTAAAAGAAATGCCATGTACAAACTGTACACATTTCAGCTCGGTAATAAAAGAAGACAAACCTTGTTAAATTTCACGAGCGCTTATTAATTTGGCTCTCAATTTTCGTGCGATAGGTATTTATAGACTCTATAGGAAACATCTATTTCTTATTATATTATTTATTAGATTTATTTATTATATTATAGTTGTTTTTTTTATTTTTTTTTTTTTTTTGTGGGCATCAACTACATTGGTCATTAGCCCTGTTTCTACAAAGATATTCCTTCCCTACCATGTTACTACACTATCACTATATCCTTTTTATAATCATTCTTGTCGGGTATCGACCACCTTTGCGAAATACTATATTTTAGTGAAATAACTCGACTGCTTTAAGTATAGTAACGTACTCTTGATCCCTTGGACGTCTGTGAGACAATTCTCCAGATTTTGTGGTACGTCACATAAGTTACGTTGCACGGTTTGGGCTGGACAGTTACATAATATGTGTTCTACAGACATGGCATTATTATACATAAATCACACAGTGGAGGGTTCTCGCCTTTTAAAAGGTAAGTATGTGTAATTGCAGTATGTCCCATTCTAAGCCGGTGGAGACGCACACTTTCTTGACGTGGTAAGTTTAACGCTGGTGATGTTGTTACAACACTGGGCTTAATTTGAGTTAAAAAGGTATTGTTTTCTTGCCATGATTGTTGCCACAGTTCTTTCATGCGTTGCAATATGTACACTTTTTGATCACTTTTTTTAATTTCAGAAACATCTATTTCTATTTCCGAGGCTGCTCTTTTTGCGGCCCGATCTGCAACTTCATTTCCTAAAATTCCTACATGTGCCGGTATCCACCACAGTGCCATTGGACGCAATTGCAATAACCGTTTCTTGACACATTTTAGTTAAAATATCCGCCGATGCAAGATTCTGCAGGCTTGTCAAAGAGCTTAAGGAGTCACTAGCTATTACAACTGACTGGAGATTTGGATTTATTTCACAGTATCGCAAAGCTTGCCAAATGGCATATTGTTCTGCAGTAAAAATCGATGCTTTTGGAGATAATGACCACGCGTATGCTATTTTTCCTATTGCAATAGAACACCCAACACCATATTCAGTTCGTGATCCATCTGTATAGATTGTTACATCCGGGGAAAGCTCTGCCAAAATTTCGAATAGCCTTCTTTTCATTTCTGCAGGTAAGTGGTTTTGCTTAGCCCACACAGTGAGGTCGAGACGGATGTTTATACTTGGATATAACCAGGGAGGTGTTTCTCTGATAGTATCAGGATATACCGAGCATGCTGACATATTAGTTTCTTGTTCAATTTCATTTGCTCTGATAGAAAGAGGTCTTGTAATTGTTGGTTTTTGCTGATAGCTATTATCGATCTCGGTAAGCATAACACAGTTTCTGTGCTGGTGATTTGCTCTGATTGCAAGGGTGTAGGTCAATATCATTTTCGTTCTTCTTATGTACAACGGTTCAACACTAGACTCACAGTAGAGACTCATTACAGGTGTAGTGGGGAATGCACCGAGACAATATCTCAATCCAAGATTGTGTACAGTATCAAGCTTTCTTAACAAGGATGGTCTGGCCGAGGAATAGGCAACACAAGCATAATCTAGTTGTGACATTACTAGACTTTTATAAATGCGTATTAAGATACGCGTATCCGCTCCCCAACGCGTCGATGATAGGAATTTTATCACGTTCAGCCTAGATTTGCACTTCCGCACGAGACAATCAATGTGCTGTTTCCAATTGAGTTTTGAGTCCAAAATCATACCGAGAAATTTGTGCGATACTACACATGGAATGGGTTCACCAGCAATAAACAAAAGAGGATCGTAATGAGGTCTTCGTAATCTGCAAAAATGCATACATTTAGTTTTAGAACGTGATAGAACAAAGCCTATGTTTTTAGCGGTGTTATATATGGATTCTATGGATGGTTGAAGTTTACGTGTTATGGCACCGATCGTGTCACCAGAACTGATAATGCAAAGGTCATCAACATATAAGCATCGACCAACGGCCGAATTAACATTTTCCGATATACTGTTAATAGCGATGCCAAATAGAGTACAACTTAATGTTGATCCCTGAGGGATTCCATTTTCAAGAAATTGTCGCTCGGAAAGAGTATTTCCTACACGAACCTGACACCACCGATCAGATAAGAAGGATTCTATGAAACGTGGTAAATTCCCTCTAAAACCCCAACTGTACAATTGATGCAAGATATTGTATCTCCAGGCCATATCGTATGCCTTCTCAATATCGAAAAATATTGCCACCGCATGCTGTCTAGATTTAAATGAATTTTGTATGTAGTTTTCCACAAATGTAAGTTGGTCAACTGTCGATCGATTTTTACGGAAACCCATCTGGTATGGCACTAATAGGTTATATTTTTCTAACCACCAGGAGAGACGTGAATTTACCATTCTTTCTAGGACCTTTCCAAGACAGCACGTGAGACTTATAGGTCTATACGACGATGGCGTTAATGGATCCTTCCCTTCCTTAAGAATAGGGACGATTACCGCTGATTTCCAACAGTTGGGGTAGGCACCTTCTTGCCAGAGTTTGTTATAGATTGCAAGCAAAGCTTGTTTAACTCTCCCAGGTAAATGCTGTATCATTTGGTAATTTATCATGTCAGGACCAGGGGCAGATTTCTTAGCGTATTTTAAGGCTTCCTCTAATTCAAAAAACTGAAATGGGGCATTATATGCGAGGTCGTTATCACCTTCAAAATTAAGTGCTACTTCTCTTTCTAACTTGATTAATTTAAAGTCTGCACTATAGTTCTCTGTGCTACTGATATTTGCGAAATATTGGACCATTGTATTCGCTATTTCCATTGAATTTGTTGTAATATCAGCGCCATTAGTTCTCAGGTGAGTTATTTGTCGGTGTGAAGATCTGCCTTTGATTGCCCTCACCTTATTCCACACTTCTGATGGTGGAGAATCAGTCATTAGTGATGATACATACTCCGTCCAAGATTTTCTTCTCGCGTCCAACATGAGCCTTCGGGACCTTGCTCTGGCACGTTTGTACGCAATAAGGTTTTCTACAACAGGAACTCTCTTGTATGCGTCTAAAGCACGTTTTTTTTCTTTTATCGCAGTAGCTATTTCAGCATTCCACCACGGTACGCGTCTCCGCATTGTTTCACCTCCCCCTATCGGTATGCTTTCATTTGCAGCTTGCTGTATGATGTTGGTAATTAATTCAATGCTGACTTCAAACTGCCCTTCAACCGCCATTAGCACTTTGTTTTTAAACTGTTCCCAATTTGCCCTAGACAATATCCAGTATCGTGATATTTGCTGATTGGTTTTCGCAGTATTTATTTTTACTTCACAGGGATAGTGGTCGCTATAGTACAGATCTTCTAGTACTGTCCACCTCAACATATCACTAATAGCGGATGAGCTAATAGCCAGATCAATCGCAGAGAAAGCACCCGACCGAGCTGCAATATGTGTCGCAGATCCATTATTCAACAGTGTTATGTCTCGACTCTCCAGTAAATTTTCCACCGCTTCACCACGGTTATCCAGTCTTGTAGAGCCCCATAGAGGGTTATGTGCGTTAAAGTCACCTACTATAATAAATGGGGTTGGAAGTTGACGGACAACATTCCATATGTTTGCAGTGTGTACCTGTTCATCGGGGGCTAAATATATACTGCAAATAGTTATTTTGATAGGGATCAGAATTTGAATAGCAACCACTTGCAATGGTGTATTAACTTGAATTTGGTTAAATGGAAAATGTTCTTTAATAATTATAGCAACTCCCCCATGAGCCCTTTGGCCCGTGTTTAAATCTTTCCTTACTATAGAGTAATTTCGTAGGGAGTATGGCTGACCTGGACGTAAATGAGTTTCTTGTAAACATACACAGAAAGGGTCTTTTTCTTGTAATAATAATTTAAACTCACAAAGGTGGTGTATGATACCATTACAATTCCAATGGTTGATAGCTTCATCCATAGTAGTGTAGTTTAATTGGAGAAAGATACAAAAATAAATATAAAATTATTTCTCTGAGGGTGGTTTTCTTGGTCTACCCTTCTGCCACCCTGGTTTTCTCTTTGCAGGCGCTCTGTTTTCATCCTCAGACGTTGTGTCTAAATGATCATTTCCTCTTTTAGAGGCATTTGTTGAGACCGAGTCTGATCTCGATCTGGATGGGACAGTAAAATCGCTTATTGATTTTGATTGATTTACAGCTGCAAAGATTGTATTCTTAATTATATTTTCCATACGCGGTAACATCTGTTTAATGAGATCTTCTACTTTAGTCGGAGTAGTCACCGCTGCAGTGTAGGACATATTCGGTTTAGGCGTGTTAATTAATACTTTTTTCTTTGCTTCTACATATGACACTTTTTCAAGGGTTTTAATTTTTTGTATTGCGCATTCACGTTTATACGACGGACAGTTTTTATAACCAGCAGAGTGTGGACCTTCACAGTTCACACACTTTTTGGGTTCTTCACAAGGTGGATCATGTGGAGGTTTTCCACACGCGCATCTTTTCTCAACTTTACATTTTTCAGCAACATGTCCAAATAGTTGACAATTAAAACATCTGATTGGTGGAGGTATAAATGGCCTGACATTGAAACTATAAAAGGCTGCTCTAATCTTTGTTGGTAAATTTGGAGTGTTGAATGTAAGTACATGACTGGGTGTGTCAACTAATACGCCATCTTTTTTAGTTTTCAGCCGTCTAACCTGTGTTACTCCAATATGCCTCACTTCTTCCAGTATTTCCTCTATTGTACAGTTTAAGAAGTCCTTGCAATATATAACACCCTTCGATGTATTTAGTTGACCATGCGGTTCAACTGTAACCCCTTTTCCTGCAAACGTAGTTGTTTCAAGAAGTTTCTTTGTCTGTTTTTCTGTTTTCGTCTGTACTAATAATCCATCTTTAACTTTTCTAATTAACCTAGTTTCTCCAATTAAACCGTACATTGACCTCGTAATTAAAAATGGGTTCATTTTGTCAAAGTTGTCCATACCGTCTTCGGTACTCTTTACTAACAGGAACCGGGGAATTGATTCCGCCGTCTCCACGCCAGTGGTTGCATCGGGTCTGGTGGCACAAAAACGAGAAATGGAGCCACCATCCATTCTCTCGCCGGATCGATCATCCGGACGGTTCCGATGGGGGTCCGATCCAAGCCCCCTGCCGCCCTTAGGGTTTATGTTTTTTTGAACTTCCATAAACAAAAAACAGGCGCGTTTTAAAGCTACCGCCAGCTTCGTAGGGTGTATAAACAAAAGGTGATCACCAGCGGAGCCCTACCGGACCACTACTAATTTCATGATCGCGCTGACTCACCCGGACGACTACAAACATATTATACGACACAGACAAACCGTTTGGAACCCACTAACGCAGGGCCATACATCCCATCGGCACGGTTGACACCTTGGGATTTCGGGAGAGAGAGAAAGGAGCATCAGGAAACGGGGTATTATGGAGGGTACGATGCGGAAGTGGTTCTGGGAAGGTAGAATTGGAGAGAGATTGGAATAGCCTCTCTCCACTTGCTCAGGTCCGTGGGGTCGCAACTCCCCAAAGTTTGGATACCCAAACCCCCTGCGGGGTATTATATTATATTATATTATATTATATTATATTATATTATATTATATTATATTATATCACAAGCCACAACTAACCTATGAAGTTTTCCCTAAAAGAAATGCAGTACAAACTGTACAATTTCAGTCGAGTAATAAAAGAAGACAAAACCCGTTTAAATTTTCACGAGCGCTTAATTAATTTGGCTCTCAATTTTCGTGCGTATAGGTATTTATAGGACTCTATCTATACCAACCTATATAGATAATTCCATCCGTTGACTTCTTTTATACATATTAATTAACCGAAAATTATCATAATCAAAACTTAATCTATACGTATACAACTTTATAAAAAATCTTTAGGATCTATATTTGTAAACATTTGAATTGCAAATAGTTATTTTCTAATTAAAAGGGCGTGTACCTATCATAAACTTAACTTGAGACAGAGTTTACATTATAGAATATTAATATGTTTGATATATCTAAATTTCATAAGAGTTAAAAAAAATGGCATATTTATCTTGCAATCTGCAGTGAAAGGCGGTGACAAACTTGGCGTTTTCATAATATCAAATTAATTTTATACATCTGTACCTACCTGCACCTCCTCGATCCGAAACAAGCTGACAGGTTTATATATTTACCTTATTTATTGACTTTCAATTGTTATTAAGTCAAAACGAAGTCTAAGCGTCATAAATATTCACGGATACCAAACTCGAATCTCTCTTACTTTGTATTTGCGATGACTTGCCTTTCGAATTTAATCTTTTGTAAAAAGCACAAGTTAATTTACCTTGTAAAGCAAATGATTTGTACAGATTTTTCTACAAGTATAACAACGGTTTTTTCGTATCCGTCAATGAATAAATAACGTATGGACCTGGCAACCAATGAAGCCCGTACGCTTTATTGTTATACGTATCTGAGTAGAAGGTACACGAGAAAGCTTTCGGCCTCTGGGGCGCACACACGGAAATTGGCTGTATGAGCTTGGAATTAGATGAGTCTCCAATACCATCAAGTTATTTAAATAGTGCGAAGGGAATATGTTAAGGTTGTTCCACAGATATACATCTAACTACCCGAATATCTTCAATTAATTTAATATGTCAATAAATTTTCTGTTTTCGGAAAAATCAGTCGCTATTTGCTTTCATATGCACTCTAAATCATTTTTACGACAGCTTCCATGCTTATTGAAACAGTTTCAAGGAGATTGCGTATGGTAATATTTCTATTCTCTAGATTGATATTTTTTATTGTACTTACATCATCTCAGAATGGTATGCGTGACACACAATACAGTTTACGAGTTTTCTTAAGTGGAATATAGCGACGAAATGTATTGGTTGTGTTCGGTTACTAAAAGATCTGGATTCAACTTGGGAACAAAACAAGTCTCTGTTTCAATCAATATTCTCATAACACCCAATAGTGGAAAAGAATTATTACTATTGCTGTTATAGGAATTTTTATATTAACATACAAAATGGGTCTAATTATAGGCAGCTATATGGACTTATGATAGAAGTCCACAGACATATCGATTTGTCGACGATAGGTAGTTGCACTCAAAATAGTTTCACCCGGGTCCGTGAAGTTGGAGTGTCGACTTGAAAGGAATTAAGTTCCAAGTATCTCATAATTTTGTACTCATTTTGTGCTAATTTGTGCTGCCAATTTAAAATTTTGTGCTCATCAGGTTAATGAGTAATTCAACTTCTTCTGATGACACTACAACTTCACGCTTGAGTGTCAACATCGATATTTTCAAAATTTTCTTTTACTATAATTTTGTGCTCATTTTGTGCTAATTTGTGCTGCTAATTTAAAATTTTGTGCTAATCATGTTAATGAGTAATTCAACTTTCTCTGATGACACTCCAACTTCACGCTTGAGTGTCAACATCGATATTTTCAAAATTTTCTTTTACTATAATTTTGTGCTCATTTGTGCTGCTAATTTAAAATTTTGTGCTCATCAGGTTAATGAGTAATTCAAATTTTTCTGAAGATACTCACTGTAGTGTCAGTTAGTTGGATATTGCCATCGCCGTTTTTTTGGAAAAAATTTCATCAAATGTCGACATCTTAGATCATTTTAAGCAACTTCTAAATAATAAAATTTTTCTGCCTGTGGGTACGTACCGTACGTACTATGTACAGTGTGGTCCAATTTCGATGGGATTAAATGGGTAATTTTCTTATTAGCGCAGATAAACGAAAACGGTTTTAGTACTCGTGTCCTTATTTTTTATGCTTATTCCATTACCTTTGCCGGAAATAAGCTGCCGTCTTTTGTTTTTTCACTAGAGAAAAAGTGAAAAATGTTGAAGCTAGAACAAAATGGCTTTAGCATTATTCAAGCAGTTTTTAATGTAGATAACCAATGTCGTCAGTCGTTTGTTTCTAGACCTTTTAATAACCAACCTTTTATTTATTTATTATTGTCTTTATTTTATAGTGGGTGGAGTGTTAGCTAATTAGCTACTCTTTCCACAAAAAAACTTTTGTTATTATCTTTCAGGCAAGATGTATTAATAAGCAAAATTTATTGTAAAAAGCTTATTCTTGAAAATAAGTAGGTATGATGTATTATACATTTTAGGAAAGCTCAAAAATCAACTTTGAGTTACAACGCAGTTACTAAAAGAATTAGAAACAAACAAATCGTACAAAAGAAATAGGGCTGAATTTGTGTTTATGAACTTATAACATTAATCCGAATTATAATGGAATTTTGTGATAAAATGGTTACCTAATTTTCGTGTATAATTAGTCGTAATGACAATTATCAGGCTGAAGAACGGAATGAAGCCTGTGAATGCGGTATCTGTTTGCACAGCTTGCAATCTGTTTTATTTTAATAGATTTACTATTCTTAAATGTTTTCTATTTTTTTAATGGTAGAACCTAGATTTTAGCGCATTTTTAAACTTATGTTGGAAGGCGCAATTATGACCACTTTCTCCGTCCGTCCATGCGAGGGCGCCACTGCTCCTACAGTTTCCAATATATTTAGTTCGTTCTTCTTGAATTCGGTAGCTCATGACGATAAATGTGCGCATGCGCAATATCAATTTTCTTATTTATTAATATATTTTGCTGAAATTTTCACCACCTTTATAGTAAAGGCAAACATATCGCATATGGTAAAAATCAGGTGTGCGCATGCGCAGACTGCACAATGCCCGCATCCTTTTTTTATAGATATTTTTTGGAAAATTTAACCACATTCTAGTAAAGGCAAACGTCCCATATTACATATGCGCATGCGCAAACCGCCCAATACTAACTTCCTTATTTTTAATTATAGATGCTTCTAATAACGAAAACATAGGTCACATAACAATGGACTATGGAAGTCCCGAATAATGCATGAAAAATGCTCGCAATTTACTCGCCTTAGGCCCAAACCTCTTTTTTAACTTTTATGTCCACAGTAAGGTGCCTTTTGCGGCTTCGCTCTCTTTTTTTTATTACTCTCCCTTGAGCTACATCCAGGGGTGTATTTCCCACAAGGCGGACTAGTTGCGCGCCTAGAACGGCAAATTCTAGGGGCGGTAAATTTTGGAGGAAACATTTTGAGTATTCACCAGTTTTGGTTTTGTTTAGCAAGAAGCATGAAGCGTAGAGACCACAAATTTAAATATCTGATTGTTTGTTGATGAGCGGTAAATACGGCAACCAGGAATAAAACAAGGAAAGGAATATGTAGCGTTCTTTTCTTACCAATTGATATTCCAAATTTATATTCCTTATATACTTCGAATTTTACTCGTTGATTGTTGAGTGAGAAATAGCAAAGAGGCGCAACTATAATGTAAAATTGCGATACATATTCCCGAAGCTTCCCGTGCCCACAGTCGACAGTGGGAGGGGTGTGAGTGTGTTAGACGTGCGACTCTGATGCTTAAAGGCCACCCAAACAACACAAACCGATTGAAAACCAATGAAAGAGCGTTGGACTATAATTCCGGAGGTCGGGTGTTCGAACCTGGATTGAGGTGAATTTTTCATCTGTGGCAGATACCTGAGACCAGTTGCGAGCATTCTGCCGGCTACTCTGAATGACGTTTTTCTGCAGTTTTCCTAATTCGTACGGTAAATACCGGAGTAGTATAAAACAACTTCATACCTTCTCTGCAGAGGCACCTCTAAAAAGCACTATGCGGGTCACTCTGTAATTGGGCGTAAGCCTGTTGATGGCCCAGAACAAGAGAGGAATAGTAATGTGACGAAGAAAACTAGCAGGGAATAAGAAACCCAGCACTACGGCTCCAGCTGCTCTCGGTGGTAGGGGTGGTTCGACGATCCTGAAAGAAATACCTATAAATGCTCCGAAAATTTAGGCGCCACTAATTTTTCGATAGTTCCAAGCCGTACAGGAAAAAAAATTAGAAACCTGCTCCTGTTGGTCTGGAAATGCAGGGGTAAAACTAAAAAAAAGAAATAGAGAAAGATAGCGGGAAAGAAAAGGTATTTATTCTGCAAGGAACTCAAGAATTTAATACAGATATTGTAGGGCGAATGAT